TCATATTCACTGCTCTCGTTCTCGCTCTCTTAATTGTATGCGCTTGCTCGTATTCATATTCGCTGACTCACTCGCTTGTTTGCTTACCTTTCGGCACAACTCTTCTATGCTTGTTTACCGCATCTGTAATTTTGGATATCTGTGTGTGGTCCCGTAATAAACGTAATCAACACTTCGTATTCGCCTTCTGATTAACATACCGTTTGGGCGTTATATAGGACGGTTATCAAGACGAACTGTGTATGAAGTTTAAGGATTATATCGAATACCGGCCACCACAAGCGTTCGTGTGGGTGACTGAAGGCCTTGGTTTGAATCCCGTGGGCGGGATCGTGGATGCGCACCAATGAGAAGTCCCAAAGTAAGACGAAACGGCTGTCCAGTGCTTCCAGATTTTCTGATTTTGTCGCATGTTTTTTCATTCACATTTATTGACGATAACATTTTTATTGATTCTGAGAATAATTTTTTTTAAAACATGATTGAATTTATTGTTTTGTCAATAAATTTTTATAGTTGCCAGTATCTTTTGACAGTAGGAAATATAAATAAGTAACTATAATCTAGGGTAAAGTAAATCAATTGTGAAATAATTGGAAAATATTGACAAATTATTCGACTTAGTTTTGTTTGTTCAATTTTTTTCATCATCTGACAGAGAATTTTACCGTTAACATGTTATAAAGAACATTTATGTAAATGGATAGATTCCAGCTTTTCACTACTGTTTAAGAAAGCAGTTCATTAATAGGAAAGACTAGATATTCAAAAACTGTTACAATTTCTTTTATTCATATTATATTTTATTATTAGAGAGGGGTTTTGTGGATTGGTTGAAGTTAGACATTAACATTGTTAGATGCCGACTATCTCAGTGATCTAAAGTTTAAGCGCTCGTCTGCGAGGTTGGTAGGTCCTGAGTTCGAATCTCGCGGGGCAAGATAGTAGATGTACATTGCTGAGGAATCGGCTGTCTCCTTGAGACATAACAATTGGCGATGGGGTAAAAAAAAGAACAATCCAAAGTCAGCCTTCAGCATCCCGATTTGTCATCAGTGTCCTTCAGCAACATTGGTCATTTATCAAACAGTAATTTGCATTACGGTGCTGAATATTAAAAAAAAATGACTCTCCCTTCCGATCGAGTACAGCTGCTATTTGAAAGACAGTTGGAGTTTTTAGTCAAATTACGCACGCAGCTGTTAAATCACTCATGCTTTGGAGATGCAACGGAAGTGGATGGATTGATCTCTCAACTGCACACAGAGCTGGAAAATGATTGCAGCCCCAATGAATCCCCGATAAACCGTATTTCAAACGGTACAACAGTCACTCAAGATTCGCCCAGTGGTCCAGTCCTCTCCATTCCAGAAACATGCCCGGTAATGGACTCAAACTCCATTATCCCCAAAACAGCATGTGCAGACGGTGACTTATCCAGCTCACAAACACACTCCCTGGTAAATGCTCATAGAATTGTCGCAATAACCACCCATGAAACAGAAAACAAATCGAGCAGTACACTGAATACAACTGCTTCAAATGGTTCTCATCAGTCTGCGACAGATGTTTTTGACAAATCTTATTATCAAGATTCTCTTTTACCAGAAAATATGTCAGATGCATGAAATGATGATCAAAAACTTAATACAATTTTGATAGATGCTAATTACCTTGATGATCCATTTTCTACAAATAAGATTCCAAATAAATTTGGTCACAATATTTCAGAAGAATTAAACTTCGAACACCTCATATCAAGTGTCGTTCAGCCTCAAGACTTAGTCACTTTCAGTCAATTCTTTGTTCAGTGCGATTAATATGTCTTAAATAAATTCAATTTAATTATAACGTGGGCATATGAGGATCCAACACTGTTTCGTGGGGGAGGATGGACCTGGAAAACTTAAAATCCGGATATAAACTCCGGATCTTCTAAAAAGGGGAGGAGTGTTGGACACGATAGATCCCCAAAACTCAAATTTTGTAATTTACTTATCGATTAAATGTGCAGATAGGTCAATTGATGAACTATCGATTAAAGGTTCAAATAGCAGTCAATTGTTGATTAATGTTCAAAAATCTTCCATGACAATATCGATTGTAAATATTTGTATAAATACGCTTGACTTGTATGCTTGATCTGATCTGCCTGCCTGACTTGTTATCTGCTGTTTGTCTGTAGAATACACTTTCTACACCTTACACAGACTTCTTGATCGAGTTAGCAGAGTTGGGGACAACGAACCAGAATAGTCTATCGAGTCGCTGAATCATTGATCCTTCGTTTCGTTCGAGTAAGACGCATCAGTAATCGCATTCAAGCAATAACGAAACATAACACATACTAGGACGAAATGACCGTCCAGTACTTCTAGTATTCCCATAGTGTTCTAGCTTAAAATGACTCATGAATTTATTTATTACATATGCTATTATTGATTAGTAAATGATTTAGTTTAATCCAATGAGTAGGTTAGAGTTAACTATAGGACGTTTGGTTAAAATACTAACTAATCTCATTTTATATTGAATTTGAATATATTTTTCATAACGAAATAACATCAACTGAAAACTATTTTTACTCATAGAAAACTTAATATTCATCTGATATGAGTTCGAGACTCTTATGAAGGATACACATCCACGACAACACACACCTACCGCCTGATACCAGAAAAATCCATACAATGAGACTGAGAACAACCTAATAGGTAGACATAATGTGAAGCATATAATCATCTTACCAGTCAACACTCCAAATATGTAAATACCTTATCGAGTAATTTCGTTTGACAAATAATCCACATACGTTTTAATGAACAAATCAACCAAAGTGGAAGTTCAATACTATATAGATATTGTTGCCTGTTTATTAAATGTCTTTAGGTGCAAAATAAAATTGCTTTAATGTCGTGTTCTTTTTATTTCTGACTTATGAAACTGTTATGTTAAATTACTCATTTTCTCCTCCATAAATTGCATATCATTCTTTGTTATATACACTAGGAATTATTTCTTAAATCAAACATTTCTAAGTTCCATTCTTAATGAAGTAAAATTTATATCACAAATAAGCTTTAGCTTGACAACCACTGGTAAACAAGGAGAACAAGATAATAGTTTCATCCTATTCCCATATACTGAAGATCTTACAAGAATAACAAAATGAAAATTTTTACATCATGTGGAGATCATACCTTCTGAGCAATCATTATACTGTCGAAGTAAAGTCATTTCTAAATATTGGTCTTTCATTCTTAATGATTACCTAGATAAAATTTGTTCATGCCTACATTAAACTAATCAATAATCTGTAAAGTTATCAAATTCACTTTGTAGCATTACGAAACATAAAGATAGAGAAGTTTTCTTTGTATAATTTATTAGCCTTAACGGAAGATAGTGATATTTGAATATTACCATAAGATCTGTTAAAATCTACTTCCATACTAAATAGTCAACATTTCCATGATGTACTGTGAAGTAATGGTGATCGATATTAACTTGATATCTCCAATTAGAAATTGGTGACAAAATGAATTTATTTAAGAAATTTAGAGCTGTATTGTGACAACTTAATAATTTATATCTAAAATATATATTAAGTGAACAATATCTATTACAGAAAGCTTCATCTTTGTGGTTCACTTGAGTACTTGTTACTAAACTCGGCTTTGAATCACATTGTCTTTACGTTAGTGACAATTAACCTATATGGCTATCTAGGTAAAAGTAAATGTAGTGTAACCGGAATTACAAACAACGAATAAGAAGCTACCTACCCTAACTATTAATAAAAAAATTATTAATAACTAGAACTTCAACTAATCCATCATACAGCTTAAATTCTAGATCCGATTACTGTAATTCTTTACTAATTCATCACAGTGTAAGCTTAATCCTAATCGTTCAATTTCACTATTCCATAAATGGTGATCTTAATCTCATCACGCAATTCATACATTTCATTTATTTATTCATTTCCCTTAATTTTATTCCAACATTAATGTCATTTATTTGGTATACATTTTCCGGAGCGCTGTTTAACTTAAACATTTTCCTTTTATTTTTCTACGTTTCTAATTCTTTAATATTTTGTCTTTTTATCTAATTACTTAAAGCTATTACTTACTTACTTACTTACGTCTGTTACTCCTAATGGAGCATAGGCCACAGACCAGCATTCTCCAACCCACTCTGTTCTGGGCCTTCTTTTCTAGTTCCATCCGATTCTTGTTCATTTTTCTCATGTCTATTTCCCTTTCTACTTAAAGCTATACTTTCTTATAAAGAACACATGAAAGTACTGTTCAGGTATGATACTGAAAAAAATAAAGAAAAATTGTTCTGTGATCGATAATCAATTTGTAGAAACCGTTATGTTAGTTAGTTTCTTTTTTCCCTCACAGTCATTCCATCTGACAAAAAAATCTCATAAGAAAGATATGTTAATAAAAATTTCTATTCTCCAATTTTTTTGTTTTCCTGTTTCTTAGTCATATGCATAGATTAAATAATTTTATTACTAAGGTGGGATGGACAGAAGTAGTTTTATATTAGAACTTTTAATAATCATTAAAAGATTTCTATACAAAATAAAATACCACAGTCTATGTGTGTAAGTGTGTGTGTGTGTGTCGTGCTCCCACACAGAGAGAGATTTGATTTAAAGAAAAAGATCCAGATCATTAAAAAAAAATATTACAACTATGATGGTAAATATGATATCTGCTAAAAAGATGAGACATAACATTATAATATATATAATCCATAACGAGTAACCATTCAGAATACAGACAAAATTTCCAGTTTCTTATATATATATGTATTGACCAATGAAATCGTAGTAATTGAAGGGCTTATTCATCCAACCAATAGGAAAACAGTATGAGGATAATTGTAATCTGTAATGTGAATAATCATTAAGAATTATTTAAACAATTATTATCTCTATAATCATATACTAAATAACTTTAATTATTTTTCTCGTTGTCAAGGCTCAACTACTACACATAAATCAACATATATTCATTTGAAATTATATACTGAATCATTGAAATCATTATCAAATTTAAAGAAAACTAATAGTTTGATCCCAATTGATCCACAACATATTTTATATGAAAAAGATTTAATTCTATTAAATGATCCATTTGATTTCATTACAAACTATTCTAATAAAAAGAAAGAAATATCATTTCAAATTCAATTGAATATTGAATATATTCAATTTCCAATTGTATCTACTCATTTATTTCAATCAGTATTATTAATAATTCATATTAAAGATTGTTTTACTGATTATTTATTAAGTACATTATTGAATGCACAAAACAATATTCCATTGTCAAAATCAATAAATGCTAATCAGAATAATACGATTATGTTAAAAGAATCTTTACCAAATCATATAGACTCATTAAGTGCTGATAAAATGCATTTACCATTTGTGATTACATGTTTAATTATTGGTCTTTCTTATATTATACTTTTAACTATATATACCATTTTAAAAATATGTCAAGGATCTAATAAATTCCATACAAACAATATAATTCCTAGTTCAACAAGTTATAGCTCAAATAATGAAATACAACAGAAACGTTATTCATCATTTTCAGCTTATTCTACAACTTTATTAAATAATTATCATAGGACAAGTTCACAATCTCAATTAGCTCGTTTAACATGTCCTCAAAAAGTTTGTATTATGATCTATTTATGTTTTCGGGTATTTTATACTTTTCTGTTCACTATTAGTGTTGGATTATCATTTATTTTAAGTATTGAAACTGATGCTACTGTGGAGTTTACTTCAGCAGTACATAATAATCATTTTATTACAATGAATTCATTTAATAATTATAATGGAAATATTGGTAGTAGATTAATTCTGCCATCAATGATGAATACAATGACATTGACAACGGATATAGGCAGCAGATGGCGTGGAGCTAAAGTATGGGTATTAGAAGCTGCTAGAATGGAGGATTTTTCTCAAACTGAATTATTAAGACAGGTAAGTATAATACTGGTGAATATTTCATTGATAACTTTATGTTTATATTTGCTTAATAGTGAATGTGACTTTTGATCGAATTGGCTTCGTGATAATAAAGTAACAAATAGTAATATCAATCAATTCTTATTATTCAGACTACTTTGCTTTATATCTTTATTTTTCCGAACTAATTCTTTCCTCGTGTATTATATCTTTATACACAATCTTTCTTTTATATAATACTACCATTAAATTAACTACTTCTGTGAATTTCGTGTTCATCTTGTTGTGTTGATGAGGTGTAGCAACTTTGAACGATTTATATATGTGCCTGGTCGTAAGTTCTAGCTGACTGACTGACAGGCTGAGATTATTTTGCTCAAAGTATAAATTTGTCCTTGTATATTTTCATCAAGGTTAATTACCATAGATTTTGATTAGATTACTTTTCATAAAATGGTGAGACTATAATTTATAGACGAACTAATCACGTATAAGTTAACAGTTCTCGGATTTTGGCGCGAAACTCACTCATCCATTTGGATAAATAGATTATTGGCATTATAGCTGATGTCAGTTCGTGATGAAAACTGTAAATTATAATTCTAATTCCTCACACTGATTTGTAACCCTCATATGGTCCTGGTTATTAAGTGGACACTGTCAAGGTTCGTCGAGCGTCGCTCAAAGGTCATCCACAAATTCTAGTCTCAGCAATAAAATTTGTATTATACTAAAGCTTATTTTACTGTTTATAACACACAAGTTACATTGAAAATCATGCTATATTTGATATTAATATGATTCAGTATGATGACACTTTTCTTATTAAAACTAGGCTTTTGAAATTCAATTTCATTTCCTAATAGAATGAAAGATGATATACCCTCATTTAATGTTTATCAACTTTTATTATGCTAAACTATTCATTTGGTTGAGAACTGGACTACTAGCTCGTTTTAAAATCTGCTATAAATCATATAGTAATTACAAGATGTTTTTCTTAACTTAAATTTAACTGGTTAGTATTATTCAAAACGTGAATTGTTTTAGATGGTCGTCGATATGAGAGAATCAGAGTTTGATTAACGTGCTTTCATATTTAGAGTCATTGGATTATCTAAATCTCAACGTAGGAAATCTTCCATATGGAAACAAACGAACATTTATCTAATCGTAGCAAAGTTTGTATGAACTTCTGTTTTGAGTTTGTAAAAAAATGTTTTATTAAGGTACCGGGTTTTAAAATACAATTAATATTATGGAGGAGGGAAGTATGGTTACTTTATTATACCCTAATGTATATCCAGTGTGTGGGTATTTCTTTCGAAGGTTGGTGCAAAGTCAGTTTTGCGAAGAATCATTGTTGTTATTTGTAATGTTCTAGGTTATTTTAAGTTCAGCTATAAATGTTGTATACTCTGATGAAATGTAATTTAAGTGCTATTACACAATCTTTAGATGATCCGAAATTGAGGCTATAAACTGATTTTGTGGATAGTCTATAGCTATAAAATTACATAAAGTGTAGCTAAGTACCCTTTCTGACTAAGTAGGTGTATAAAATATAATCTTGATCTCTGTTAATAATCATATTGCCTTATCAGTATTAATAAAAAGAAGCAGACTAACATTTCTTAAAATCTAACTGACATAAATTTTAGTACATGGTGTTTCTAAACATGCTATAAATATTTCAATATTTCACATAAAATAAGATTGATCCACCAAAGAGTTCCCTTTTCGGTGAATTCATTTTCAAAGCTGTACAATCATAAATATATAAACTTATTTTTCTGAATAATAATAATTAAAATAGTAGTGATAGTAAACTTCTGTTAAGCATGGTAACGATGTGGTAGAATAAAGAAAGGTATTAAAAAATCTTTTTGAACGAGAAAACTAATGATCGTTTTATTGTTAAGGGTTTGAATTCTCATCATAACGATAGATAAGGAAATTATCATGGGGAAAGGATGGCTTAGCATGATAAGATAAAATGTTGAAATTGAGATGAAATGTAATCAGAATGATCAGAGAAACAGAAATAAACAAGTTAGGGGTAGAAGGTTTAAAGAGGAGATAGAAGAGGAATTAGATGGCTGTAAAGAAAGAAGAATATGAAGAAAAAATGCTATAGACATTAAAACCATGATAGAAGAAGAGGTTGTACCAATCTCTTTTACATACATAATACAGGTCCTCCCATATGTATGGTTACTGCTTCGGCAGTATTAAGAAGATGCAATATAACTGCCTTTGGAAGACTTCCACTTACCTTGTAGATGACTTAAAACTCAGAGTCCGTCTTGATTGAGTGACCTGTTTTCACAAGGTGTTCGATTATTGAACTTCTTATTGCGCCATTTCTTAGACATGCCAGGTAATGTTGTTGAATTCTTTTTGAATGATCTATATAAAACTGAACAAGTAATATTAAATTCCTGAAACAGATAAATTGTTTAAATTTGAATGGCCTAGATATTTAAACGTTTTAAATTCTCTATTCTGATATTCCTCATCTATTTTAAATACACTGACTGAAATCATGAGTCAATTGAAGCTAGACCACCATGGAAAACCTGTAAGTACTGGACGGCCGTCTCGTCCCAGTATGGGACTCCTCAGCAGTGCGCATCCACGACTCCACCCCGCGGGATTCAAACCCAGAACCTATTTCAAATACTTCAAAACAATTAAGATTTATATAAACAAATGTTCTAATTTGTTAAAATAGGCGATTCATTTTAAATAATAATAACTAAAACAAAAACTTTTGTAAAATGGCCTACCACCTCCTAGGTTACACTTATATGCATAGTTAATATGTTCATTCAAGCATCAATTTGTACTTATTTGAATTATTGATGATTATTCAATATTAGAGCTAATGAAATAACAAATATGTGATACATCTGTTATGTTCATTAACTTGAATGCTAATACTGATTCGTCTTACTCGGAACGGAACGAAGAATCAAGGATTCAGAGACTCGATAGGCTATACTGGTCCGTTGTCCCCGACTCAGCTAACTCGATCCAGACGTCTTGGTAAGATGTAGAAAGTGTATTCTACAGACAACCAGAAGATACCATTTCCATCAAGCACACAAATCAAGCGTATTTATACAAAATATATATAATCGATATTGCCATTGAAGTTTTTAAACATTTAATCGATAAGTTTGTCAATCGACTATATGAATGGTTGGTAAGAAATGCTCAAGCATACATCTGCATACAAGCTCCACAAAGATAAAATTGCAAACTGTGAGTTTTGGGGATCTAATGTCCCCAACAACATCCTAAAAATAAAAAATAAGAAAAAAGAGAAACCATCAGTAAATTAATTTTTCTAGCCTCAAATGAGTTTTGTTTAGTTTTGTCTTTCTTCAATGACCACAACAACAAGATAATCTAATGTTTTTTCATTTGGTTATTCATTGTATCAAGTATTTAGAAGAAAAAAATTACTCATCATTTTAAAAAAGTTATTAATTGTTATGTTTATTGTTGTTATTATTATTGGTGTTACCATAGTTCTGAGTAAACATGCACACAAAACTACATTTTTTTAAGATGTCGACTGCGTATATATGTATGTTATTGAATGCTAGTAGCCGTATAATTGAAATTAATTCAACATGCAACCAATTCGTTGAATTATTAATGCATATAAATGTTTTTTTTGTTGTTGTCATATTTTCTATCGTATACCTACTTGTATTACCTCATAGTTTGCTGGTAGGTTTATTGAGTTATCATAATAAAACTAAGTAATAATAATAACAATACCAGGATTATTATTCTGGATATGTTTACGGGTAAAAACAATAATAAGACTATAATTAATGTTTTTAATAGTTGAGTTGATGAGTCTATGTAAGCATGACAACCATAAAAATCTTGGAAGCACTTGAAGCCGTGACCATTAGAGTCTGATCCATGCCAGTTGGAGCCAGGTATCTACCTCAGACAATGGATGAATAGTTGCTCGATATCATGGATTGACCAAAATTAGACATTAACAAAGTTCGATGCCAACTCAGTGGTCTAAAAGTTGAGCATTCGCGCGCGAGATCGAAGGTCCTGGGTTCGAATCCTACGGGTCGGGATTGTGGGTGCGTACTACTGAGGAGTCCCATACTAGGAAGAAATGGCGTCTGGTGCTCCCAGGTTTTCACGGATGATCAAGCTTAAGTAGACTCATGAACTCAAATATTCACATTACTACAATCTCCACAAACTCCCATTCTTATAATAATTAATGTGTCATTTATTATATTTGTAACTATATAAACGCTTGTTAAGTTCTTGTTTATCCTGGGTCATATTTATCATTTGTTGCTGATTATTTCTTATTCAGAGAATTATAGACACCGAACATCAAACTTTACTTGTTCTTCCGTCTATAATGAGTGAATGAGTTTGTATTGAACTTGACAAAGTAAAACGTGACACTTCAGGTATGATGTGTGACTGTAAAAAGAAACACAATTAATATCATATTTCCACATTCTGATTTATATAACCTATTGAATGATTTCAGTGTTAACCTTCTCGTTCATTTCTAACCATGTTTGATGATAATGAAATTAACAGCAAAGGATATTACATTTTGAATCCACTGGGAAAAAATCTTTTATCGAATATGCTGTTTTATTAGATGGTAGTAGCTGAATAGAAGTTCATAAACTCGACTTTCAGCTATACCTTTGACATAAATAAGTTTTCTGTGAATCCAGTATTTGGATGCTATAGACTTTAATCAATATATTAATGATTCTTGTCAGAATCTACATTTAATTAGCAAAACTTTTTATGTAACTTGTGTTTAGTTGGATAAAAGTGTAGTGAATGAGAACACAAATGGAAATAATCGCATGTGTTTGTATTCAAAATTACAGAATCTCTTAGTGAAATCTGTGAACCAAACAGTAAATAGTTCATTTGCAAAATGTCAATCGAGTTTCTCATACTTCATTGTTCCTTCATTTTCTTACCAATCACTCTTTGTT